AGCTGTTATAATACGTTGAAAGCATTGTTAATAATATGTAATCAATATGTCTTATTTCTAAGACAACAACAAACTCTGTACCGCATCGGATGTCATCCCTTGCTGTAAATGCAAGCGCTCAGGTTTTTTTTCCTGCCACCTCCCTGTGCACGCATCCTGAATGTTTACAAACAGGGTAATTGGTCTATAATACATGCTCAATTTTTCAAACACTTCTTTACTTTTAGTCATTCAATAAAAGTTTTGTCCAAAGTGGCTTATGTTTAAGGAGGCATTTAGCGATTCGGCAAGAAGAGGCAATACACACAAGAAGTACTTATTAGTAGGAATGTAACGATTCACCGTGAGCTATTAATAATCGGTTCAAATATGATATGATATGATTCAAATCTGTAGAAATGTTAAAAGAATTACGATACATGTATTGAACAGAAGAGGGCGCACTGTTTACAGGTGCAAACTAGCTTTATCTGCACATCATTGGTGAGCAAGAGGTGGGGTGCTAGACCAAAATGACAATTGTGAAGTGTGCCAGACAAACACAAACTGTGTGCAAATACTGCAAAAAGACATTTTTAGAGAGATTAGCGTCAACCCTAATCAAACACACCTGAACCAACAGACTTCCTGGCAGGTGTGTTGAAGCAAGTTGGAGCTAAATTAAGCAGGACCCCTGTCCTCCTGGACAGAGTTTGGACACCCCTGACTTACACTAATTGAAAAACAAATAGGATGCACTTAAACATTCAGCACAGGGAAATACTACTGCCACAGACGTTTATACACAAAAAGCTATTAACATGCCAAACTATCGGAGGATTGGCATATTCGTTTGCTCAGACCTCTGACGAGTGCTGACATTACGGAAATCACATGGTGCATTGTTTTTTTTAGTGTAGAGTAAGGAGGTGGATTTTTTTTTTTTTACATGTAAAGAGAGAATAGTGCTTCTACTGGTGCTTTGTCAAGCCCACTTACTTGTGTGAAACTTAATTCATAAATAAACAATGTTTGCAGATATGAATTGATTGTAAGAAATTGTCTGCTTTAAATGTTCAAAACTGGTACAAGTGACGGTTAAAGTATATGAGAGAGTGTGTTTCTACTGGTGGTTTGTCAAGCCCTCTCATTTGTGCAAGGCACATTCAGAAATCTCGAATTCACACACATGCATACAACCTCCCACCTTCCTACCAAAGTTAACTTCAGTAATGAAAGAAAGTTTCATTTTCTTGGGTTTGATAAGAAGCGTTGTGTTCTTTATCAAACTGGGGAAAAAACTGATTTCAAAGTGTGTAAAAATTGTCAGGAAAAAGTGTAGGAGGAAGTGTCATGGTTTGGGGGTGCAGCAGGGTTTCAGTGTTGATTATTTTGCAACAAACTATAATATGTCTTTTTTGCAATAAAAGGAGTCAATATATTCAAAAAGTTTCAAATGATTCAAAGTTTTTCTGTTTGAAATAAATGCAGTGCTTAGCTTTGACCATGAGATTGTGTTTTATCTCTGTTAGAGAACTGTGGCTTATATCAAGCGCTCTAGTAATTAAGTGTAGGCAGCAAAAGCTCTGCGGTTAATGTTTCCTAGGGTCATGAAATAACTGATAGCTCATGGATCTTACCCATTGATTAAAACAGTCTAATTACTGCAGTTTCAACACTTTTGCAACTTCTTTGCTCTTTGACATTTTTGAGCCCACTTTTCAGTGTTGGACAATGTACTCAAATTAAGTACTTGAGTAAACACACAGATGCCATAATAATTGATAGTAAAATGGTGTAAGTGTTTAACAATCCCTTTGCAAAGTTACTTGACTTTTATGCATTAAAATAATAAAATTACTAATTGAGGAATGTTTACTTATTGTACAGGCATGTTAAAGGGCACCTAACCCTTTTTTCATATTTATTATGAATCTTTTGTGTCTCCAGAATGTGTCTGTAAAGTTTCAGCTTAAAAAGCCCATCAGATTTTTTATTATACCTTTTATAAGTTTCTGTTTAATACATTTTTGCACTGGGTGGTGGTTTTGCTGTACTGTGCCTTTAAGGCTAGTCTGCCCAACCCACCGTTTCTACGTGCCGTTCTGTGTGCCTTAATCTCCTCCCTCGGCTGCGTCAGACAACAAACAGACATAAAGGAAGCAGATCTCACGTAGTGTTTGTGAGAAATACTACTGTAAGAACTTGTAAGAATGAGCATTTGATGCATTTGCTGTTGAGTAACAACGATGAGTCACACACAATGTCGTTACAAAGTTCACGTGCACACACACAGACACACACACACACATACCCGGCACGTACACGATACACACATACATACAGACAGCGCGCGTTTAGCTTTTTACTATTTTGCATGCAAATGTGACAGGATACAGGTTGATCTCCATTGCTGTATGGATATCTGTTATGTTAGTGTACAAAATAAACCTGATGTAATGTCCACAAACCAGGATTGAAGCGTCTTCTTTCATAATTGTTCTGACACGCGGCTGTGCTGATGAAGTAAAGCTGAGGTAAATCGCTGTAATTCATTACACACATGCACTGTTTTAAAACATTTTAAACTTGTAAAACTTACTCTTTTTGATCACATTTGATGACGATTGATGATCCTAGCAAACTAAACAGACCTTTTATTCCCGGTTGCTTTGCGCTCGTCTTCTCTTGTTGATATGATTTTACACATGACTACCGGGACATGTTACCCAGCTGTCAATTAATTTGATGGGTGGGGGGACCGCACTCCTACATCAAGTTGCGGTCGATCTGAAAACCGCTCCAACTGGTCCACCGTTTTTATGTTGTTAAATCAAAAAAAGGACAATATGACCGCCTATACACTATACATACACATATTTCTGTCCAAACAGCTTGAAAAGTAGATTTTTCACCATATGTGCCCACGCAAATGAAGGGAGAAAATGCAAACTCCAAACAGAAACGCCAACTGACCCAGCCGAGGCTCGATCCAGCAACCTTCTTGCTGTGAGGCTATCTGATGAACTCATTCTTCTTTTTTCCCCCAATACATATCAAATTTTGCCTACTCTTCATCACGAGGAAGACAAGTAGGAATCATTAATAAGTCTGTGCATCTTATTTTATTTGCACATTTATTGAATGGAAATGTTTCTGATTTACGTATGCAAATTCATCTTCAGATGGTGCCTTTATAGCAATGTGTGTGCAGTAGATCGCTCCGATTGAGTTGGGCAAACCGGCGACCGCTGCAAATTGCGCTTTAATGTTTGGCTGGTCAGCTGCATGGTATAGAAACCTTATATACCTGCTAGACATGCGGATGAACCCTTCTCATACTGCCATTGCACGGCTCAAAGACACGTTGTAGTGTGCAATTTAACACAACTGCCTCTAGAAGTCGCCAATGGAAATAAAACAGACACACACAAGAAATGCACGTACGCCAGGCATGAAGTTGGCGTGGACCAACGCACATTCCCATGTACATTTCATCATTAGTGAATCCATATGTGAGCATGAAACCTCACAAAAAAAAAAAAAAAAACACGTTGACACCTGAGGCCCTAGATCTTCAGGTTCAGTGAGCCGTTAACTGTAGATTCACTTTGACTGATTATTTAAATCAGTGAATCGCTAACTGAAGACTAGATTTCACCGGAATATTAAAATAAATGAATTGTACGCTGGAGACTCACCCTGTCCAAGTCTATTGAATCAGTGACAAATTAACTGAGACTCACTCTCAATATATCATCTCAATCAGTGAGTTGTTGACTCAAGAACAAATGCAATAAGATACGTTTAATTGATAAATTGATTAATTCAGGGTAATTTGTGAACTGATTTACTGTAAAATCTTACGTTTTATATAGTGCAGTAAGTTAATGTTATTATACACAGATAAAACGCAAATACTTGATAAAAAACATTGAAAAATAAGAAATTGCATTTTGTATAAATGTACAATAATACAATTTAATTAAAAAATACAGACTTTAACTGATTCTATTCTATTAAAGTCTGACTCTGAAATGAAGTTTTATAAATTAATTTCGAGAGAAGCACATGATCTGCTTGATTGCGGCTGGATTTGCATCTGTAATTATTGCTACTCCAATCAGATATCATTGTAGACCCATCAGATGAATTCTAGCATCCAGTAAATAAGCCAATTCATCCAACCTTCCTTATCTTCATTTTTAAAGAACCTCCACATCTCCCCCTTTGTTTCTCCTTTACCAGGGGGAGCTTTTGAGACGTACCTGATCTCGAACCCCAAGCTCAGGGTTCTCTCCCAAGACAGCATGCCAAATCTGCAAAGTATATCAAGTAATAGCTATTGTCAACTCTTGAAATGTATTATAAACTCAATTTAAATCAGGATTATTGACAGGTTCTTTTTTTGATAATTTTTTTTGTTGACATGTTATTTTAAATTCTTTTATGCATTTAAGCCTGGTTAAACGAATCTTGCCACCCTTGTTTAACATGGAAAATGCTTTCACCGTCTCTCCGCAATGACATTCAGCAGTGGGTGGTATTTGGTGGTTTCTGTTAAAATAATTGGATTTGCCTGATAAACCACGTATATATGTACAGTGGAAAGAGAGCTCAAATTATTTGATCATTTAATGTTTCATTTATTTTAATACAAGCTCAGTAAAAGTAGCTTCTGGCAAGAAGATTATTCCACTTGAAAAAAAAAAATGTCATTCCGCTCGGTGCATTTGCGTCTGTAAACAGCTGGATTAAAGTGTAGATTTTGCGAGTGGGTGTACATGGATACTCATAACTCTGTCTGGTATTACAAATTTCCTTTTCCTCCCTCTTAGCTGGGAACATTCCAGCGTTCAAGAGCTGATTGTTACGCCATTGTTATAAAAAGCCAAATGTATTCTTGGTGTACCATATATGATTTGTGTTTTTTTAATTTCATGACTGTTTGTTAGTGCATTTATTGTGTGTCCAAGACACAGCAAAGATCCAAAGGAAGAGGGTCGGGAAGAACTTGTGTGGTGCAGATAGCAGCGCCATTTACAGAGCTATAAGCATCATAGTTGTCATAGCTCTTTGAATGGTACTGCCATATGCACTGAACTATCGGCATCTCGCTCCTCCAGGAGCTTCTCCAGCTTTTTGTGTCTTTCCAAAGGTTATGCAAGTCATTTAATGCATTTAACTATTTAAGCTGTTTGTATTATTTTCTTAATTTATTTGTGCTCTTCTTGGTTTTTTGTTCATTTGCACTGTGTAACTTCTCAGCAAATCTAAACCAACCTAACACCCTAGCAACCACTCAGAACACCCTAGCAACTGCACGGTTAACAACATTTACAACCACTCAAATAAATTAGCAACACCATGAGTTTTGTGCGCACACTCATTTTCAACAGACAATGCAAAAGTTTGGTTTAATGAACTATTTAGCTTTTTTAAGTTGAGTTAAAGTGTCTGTTTGGCTGGAGTTGCTACTCTCTAATTAAATATACTTCCCTGGGTTTTAATAAAGGCTGAATATTCAGCATGCAGAGGCACAATTACAGGATGTCTAGTGTTGCTTGTCAGTAACTTTATGGCAGAAAATGATGCCTTCAATCTGACCTTTAAAATAGGTGTTAGTGTTTATCTAGTTTGTTTTGTTTCCATCAGACAAGCTCTTGTTTTCCTCCTAATGAGCACACAATTAAATGTCGGGCACAGTGGGGTAAAATGTGGCGGTAAACTGTGTCGCACCACTTAAGTTTTTTTTTCACTTGCCACTATTGTTTAAAAGTGTGAGATTGATTTTTCAGAGTATCTTAGGCACACCAAGCCTGTTTTTCTTTTTTTTTTGGTAACACTTTAAAATAAAAGTCAATTAGTTAACATGGTATATTAATGAATATAGAGTGTGAAATAAGGGAATATTCACTATAGTCTATGTATTGGCTTCGAAGTAATCTTACATAGACCTCATACTTGTTACGAGAACCAGCGATCGCTCTCCGGAGATCGCTGGTTTCCACTATACCATGGACTACACTTCCGCCTTCTTCTGGACTACACATGCATACATGCACTTCTCCCAGACACTCACGCCTGCTCACTCATCTAGACTGATTACACTCGCATCACCTGAGGACTTTCAGAGACTGATTAGACACCCTTCATAAGCCACTTATTCACTTATTCACCAGTTTGCCGAGTCTTGTTCGCTCACAGTGACATTACAACGCGTTTCTTCGTGTCTCGATCCTAGCATTGCTTATCCTAGTTATCTTGTTTAGCTGCCAGCCTTACGACCTATTGACTGTACTTTGATTACGACTCTGGATTTGCCTACACATACCTGTTTGTACCTGATTTGACCATTGCTTGGTTGACGTTGAATAAAATCTGCATATTGGATCTTACCATCAGTTGTGTGTGTCACCCCCGGCGTTACAATACTGATGGCTAAAGTTCTGGAAGCTTTGAAACTTTAAATGGTCAAGGACCACCTATTAGGTTATTGGACTGACAAGTTAACCAACAAATCATATTTTAGGTGTGGAAATAACATCAAAATCTTCAGAATAACAGCCCAGAACTTTACTCATCTGTGAATGTCTTTAACATTTTACAAAAGCGACACGTCAATATTCTACATGATTTACCAGCAAAACATAGCAAATCAGTAGGACGTATGTAGTATTTGTTCTGAGATTCTTACATCATTTTGGTGACACATTTTTTATAAAGAGCACTCAGACTGAGATGATAGAATACTGTGCGAAAGTTTTCTTTGTTCTAAAACAGCAAGATTTTGTTGTATTTTTGAGTGTTTCTCTTGTCTTTGTGAAGTTTATTTGTAAACTAATTTCGAAAGGATCAAGTGCTTATGATTACTTGCTGCAAGCCCTGCATTATTCAGTTTGTGATTTACCAATCAGACGATTCCCCCCTTCCACCCCTACTTCTCCTCCTTTCCTAGATGGGTGGCAAGGTGGCCCAGTGATTAGCACTGTTCCCTTACAGCAAGAACGTCACTGGTTCTAGTCCTTACCAAGCTCTTTCTGAAAAGTTGTCTTTTTGTGGACTAATGTAAACAAATAAGAATACAGAGAATGGTTTGATGCTTTCGACCACAGGATTGCTCGCAGTAAACAGCTCAGAGGGTTTTTTAAAGAAAAAGTAAACTGCTGGAAAATGTTGCGTGCTGTGCTTCCCCCACCGAGTGCATTAATTTAAGCAGAAAGGGGTGAACCCTGATAAATCGAGAGGGGTTTTTGTGGTTAAGTGCTGTTTCTATATCAGGTCATAAAGAAAAAACAAAGAGGCAGCTCTATTATTAGCTCCTATAAGTTACGTAACAGCAATCATTGCATGAGAATAATGGGGCACTTAGAGAAGTCCAGCCGTGCCCAGCATTCCTTGCTTTCATCCAGCAGTGCTTTGAGCCAAACTTTGAGCCAAACTTTTAAGATTGTTGATTGTTTGTTTTTTAAAGGCTGCATTATCCTCCCTGCTCTTTGCTCTTCTGAGCTCATAAACTGCCCTTTTGCATTTAATTGCATTTCTCGTAATCACTTGCCATTTAACTTTAAAATCCACATTTTGCGCACACTGCACATTTATATACCCTCTGACTTTATTTCCCCCTAAGCGCACAGCTGTAGCATATAAAGTATTGAGCGCTGATGTGTTTATAGTCTGGCTGGCTCGCCATCTCTGTGTGTTGTAATAATGTTGCGGTGTGGTCGCTCAATAGAGTGTTTGTGTTTTGCACACTTCGCTCTGCCCGCTGTGCCATCAAGCCACAACCAGCTCTGTGGCCCTGAATAAACAAGTGATCTTAAGATGATCTGTGTTTGATGACACATCCAGTTCAGAGCCAATAAGTTACAGGGAATAAACAGCAGCGTAATTGCAAGTGCCTTCAGTTATATGAGCATGAGGTCTTGTTAAGATAGTTGAGGTTTTGAATTCCATGCATTAACCAGCTTGTTGCAATTTTTGCCAGCCATTTTTAATTACAAAAATTACTAGATAAATAAGTACACTTCAGCTGTACAAATACATGCAAGGGTATTTAAACAGTTTTTGTGATATTGGTTTTGTCATTGGTACAGTGTGTGTAGCCTGATGGCATACAGTGTATTAGCAGTGTGAATCTCACCTCAATTTTATTCAAATCATTTCTTGATTTTGTATAAAAAATGAAGATTTAAAGGGCACTTATTTTAACACTTTTTCAAGATTTTATATAAGTCTTTTGTTTTTCCAGAATATGTCTGTAAAATTTATGCTCAAAAATCCCATCAGATATTTAATTACACCTTTCTTAATCTGGCAAATTTGAGCTGTTAAGTCATTGTAGATGTTCTTGTTGCCTGTGCCTTTAATGTAAATAAGCTGGTTCTCCCCGCCCAACATTCCCACTATTGCTCTGAATGGTGTAGCGTCACCTGCTAGGTCTTACATAGTTAAACAGCACAGTGATAGAAAAGAATGAAGCAGACCTTCTTTACTACATAAAGAATGGTTATTTAATTTAAAGGAGTTAATCAAGCCTTTCTGCCATGATGAATCATCAGTTATGATGTTATAAAGTTTGCACGTGTGCGCGTGCACACACATGCAAACACATACGTTTAGCTTTGCACTTTTTGGATGAAAATGTAACAGGATACATGTTAATATACACTGCTGAATGGATATTTGTTGTTATTTTGACGTCTTTTCTTTATTACAAATATGCAAGGATTTAAAATTGTTTAAAACACAGCGAGCTGAACAGATATTTTAATCCCAGTTGTTTGGCAAAGTCTTGTCTTGTGGATATGATTCTACACGTTACTATGGAGTCATGTTTATATGTGGCTTTCAATCAATTCTGTGGTCGGGGAAACTGTACTCCTACATCACGTTGCAGAGGTCCTCAAAATATGAGGGAGTTGGATCCTATTCTAACGTCAGGAGACTTGTTGTGTTTCTGTCACTCTAATGTAAGTGTATTAATTTTTCTGCTTGATTATAGACAGGTAGGTCTTGAAGAAATAAATCTCACTGGATTAATACCTAAGCTCACATATACAGTATATTTTGTTTTCTTTTTGATAAGTAGATTTGTTAATATAAGGTAAATGCAGCCAGTTTTTTATTATTTTTATTTAGCAATGCAGTCCTGAGATTAAAACTAGATAGTACAAAATATGTTTTTTAAATGCAAGAATTAAAAGCTGATTTGCAGATAAATAATGTAGAAATAAAGTGGTTGCTCTTTGCATATGTCTATAAATTTCTAAAATTAAATTAATTTAATTTCTCATTTGAAAGATTTTTGTTGTATTTACTAATTCTGTCCTGTTTTTGCTATGTATGTTACCCTTGTAAACACCAATTAAATGTTGACGTAAAATTAATATTATTCAGTTTAAAAACTGCAAACAATATGCTTCATTTCACTTAAGGGAAATAAAAGCCCTGCATTTCTCACAGCTAAGAAAAATATAATTTAAAATATATTAACTGACATGCCATTACTGAATATCTCACAAATTCCTAAGCCATTTGGGGAAATAAAGAGAGAATTTATTAATTGATTCGGTCATAGAACTCAAAGGCTTTTTGATTCTCATTATAGCAAGCGATGCATATAGTGTACAGAGATTACTCTTCCGCTTTTATGTTATATCACATTAAATAAGTGTAAAATCAGTGCAGAAAGGCTTTCACTGGCTTTTTTATGCAAGGAAGACTGGCATTCACGTCAGATGAATGAACCATATACAGCAGAGAATCTAAATGATCCTTGACTGATGGTTAAAACAGGAACACTTCCTAGGAATGGAGCAGGTCATGCGAAGGCTTTTTTAAAGAAGCCACTCATGTTTTTTCTTCTTATAACATTTGAAAGACTGAACTGGACAGAAATAGAAAGACTGAAGTCATACATTTTGTAGTATTGCAGACGTTTTTGCTAGATTGCATCTGAGGAGTGATATTTTACTTATTTAGTCATTTTCTATAAATGAAGACCCTGTCACTTTGTTTAATGCTTCCCTTGAAATTTCTAAGAATTATGTTCACTGTGCAATAATTTAAATCTGTAAATAATAATCTCATGCTTTCT